AAATTTAAGAGAGTGGACATGAAAAGAAACGACAAAAAACAATATTCCACCCTTCATGAAAATTCACATTTTGCCCTTTATTTGTTTTGGTTCAGAAATTAGTTACAACCAGCAAAAAGGTAATTTGTCTTTTGTGCACGCATTTCCCATTGTTTCCTTTCTTCATGTACAAGAATGCTATTGCGAAGTTGCACAAAACTTGCTACTATTTTTCACAGTCTCACTCTCTAGCGTCACATTTTGAAGAATAGTGTCATGGATGAACAACCAGCCGATGATACTATGATGGAGGTCAGGGAAGATCTCATGCTTTCGCCTGCTGCTGATAGTAAACCAACTTTCAGAATAGCCCATTTTCTCAAACCCATTTCTGACTCCATTCATGAACAACCTTTTCAGCTTATAAACCCACTTTCATCACCATCTTCTGTTTCTGAACCAATGGAATATCCTTTGACAATCCATTTTCATGGATGGCGTCGTCCACAACCGAAATGGTCTAGGTGGGTTGACCAACTTAAGCTCAAATATGAATCACTGTGGAAAAAAGTTGGCATATTTGAAGCTATAATGAGCACAAGGTGCCGCATAAACAAAAACCAAGACTTGCTTTATGGGGTTGTTGAGAAATGGTGTTGTGAGACAAATACCTTTGTGTTTCCCTTTGGTGAAGCAACTATCACTTTGGAGGATATTATGGTTTTAGGAGGTTACCCTATTCTTGGTGATCCTGTTTTCACCTTACTTGAAGACCAACAAATGAAAGAGGTTGAAGACAAGCTCATAATTGCAAGTCAGCAACTTAAACAACAAGCAGGTAGCCCTCTAGCATCAATATGGATGGATATTTTCATTGATAAAGGTAGTGATATTGAACATGAAGCATTCCTTGCTACTTGGTTGTCCGTTTTTGTTTTTCCTCACAGAGTTTTAGTGAAAAGTTGTTTATTTCCTATTGCTGTTCAACTTGCTAGAGGAAATCCAATTGCTTTGGCTCCTGCTGTTTTGGCTAGCATATATAAAGATTTAAGTTTTTTTAAGAAAACAATTGTTGGTTTGAAAAAATATCCTGTTGGTCGTGAAAGCTTTCCCTTGGAGGTTACTTTTAAATCTCCCTTTTACCTGGTTCAAATTTGGGTTTGGGAGAGGTTCACAAATTTACAACCTCAACCACAAACCATGATGTTCAACCATGGAGAGCCTTTATTGTTTAGGTGGCATAAGGCTAAGGCTCCCAAAATTGACAATGTTAGGTTAGCTATAGACTCGGCTATTGATGATTTTCTTTGGCGTCCATATATTAAATATGCTGATAAGTGTGGAATGTTTTATCCAAATGATGAAACTTTGGTACCATTGAAGAAAGTTTTGGTGGATAGACAAATGATCTCATTTGTTCTATGCATGAGAGTTTCTGAGCTTGTTGGATTTGACTCTATAGAGCAGTATCTTCCACATAGAGTTGCTATGCAATTTGGAATGGATCAAGATGTTCCAAGTTATGTGCCTAGACTTAATGAGACTAAAGAGATTGCTTGAAAAACTACTATAGGCCCATATCCGATAAATATTTGAATTTCCCTTCAAGATTTTTTGAGGCAGATGTTACCGCCCGTTATGCAAAGTGGTGGAAGCAGTCTGTATTAGGGAACAGCGGTTTTTTTAAGAAAATTGTGCAGAGGAAGAGAAGTGCAAGTTCAAGGAAACATAGAACTCATGTAGGAAAAGCCAACAGAAGAGGTAATGATATTGGTGTTCCACCTGGTTTTCCTCCCAATCTTATTGACACTCTTATTTTTGGAAAGTTTTGTTATGATGGTTCAAAAAATAAAACTAGGAAGGTTGATGATTTGTATGCTGATGTTCCATATGAAAATTCTGTTCATAATCATTTGATAGCTGATAAGAATATTGATGCTGATGTTTCTTATGAGAAGCAAGTTGATATTCAAAGCAAAAGCTTTTCTGTCAGAAAAAAATTATCTTCTTCTCATGATATGGCTGCTAAAGAAACCGTCCGTGAAAAAGTGAGAGATGATGAAATCATGGTTTTGTTAAAAGAGCAAAACTTGAAGAATCAAGAGGAACTCGCACGTCTGGCAAGGCGACAGGAAGAGATGTTACGGTTAATGGCTTTGAAGGAGAAGAGAGATGAAGAGTTAAGACAACTACTCACTAGTTTTCTAAGGAATCAACAACCACCACCACAGTCATCTTCTTAAAACTCTATTTTGTTTTAAGCTCTCTTTATCAAACTTATGACAGTGGTGTTATTTTCATACTGACCATTTAGTTGATAACAATACTGGTTTAGATGAGTTATTAGATGTTTTCTTAATCTGCTATGACTGAGCTTTTGTTACTTTCAAAAGTAGATGATTCAGAATTTGCTGTCATTTTGGAATATTTTTCTATATTTTTTGGTCTCTCGTCTTGTTTGAGAAAATCACTTGGTGCTTTTGAGCATACATCACGTTATTTGGCTATCTAAGAGTGTATTTGTGAAGTTGCAAAAAACATACTTTTACTCCAATTTTAGTTGCAATGCAATACAATTCTCAAAAGCACCAAAATACCACTCACGCTCACATTGAGCTGGTAGGAACCCAAAACACTCCATGCAACAGTTGGGTGTAAAGTATGACAGTAATAAAGTAGCAGTTCTACACATAACTAAAAGATTAACAAATTTGGGAAACTAATAACAATGTTTGCAATATGTTCACAACCTCTTCTAAAGACATAGTCAAGTTGGCGAGCACCGTGATTAGAAACAATGATTCCAGCAACTCCAACTTGTATAGCGAACTTTGCTACATTATTAGCATAGAATTATGAATGGATAAGAAAGCATAACATCATAATATATTTGTTATTATGTAATAAGCTTACTATCTTCAGCAGGAAGTACACCCTTCACTAAAATTGGCAATGAGGTGATTGATTGAAGCCATTTCACACCCTGCAATAAGATTTAGCATATCATTAATTACTTCGCTATGCAATAATGTCATAGGCAAGGAGTTCTAATCGGTATGTGAAAGATACAAGTTACCTTCCAGCTGAGTGAGCGCGACTAGCAACATAAGACGCTAGACCTGAATCATTAGTCTGCAAAGTGATTACAAACAGCAAATGGAAAAAGTGAGATATTTAGTAATTTAACTATGTTGAGATATGATAAATTTTGTATAAAGATTTCTCCTGTTGAAACTTCAAAATGATCTCCAACCTATTTTTAATATCAGTCTCCCTGCGACCAAGAATTGGAGTGTCCACAGTAAGCACATTCTCCTTGAAACCGGCAGATTCAGCTCTTCTCACAAGCTGAGTAGCCACATTTCTGTCTTTAACCACCTAAGAGAATAAAAGAATAACAACAGACTAAGCTATAAAGCAAAATAGTTAAGAATTTTAAGTTAGAAACACATCACATGAAATGTTTTTGCATTCAAGGGAGACATATGACAAACACTGGAATTAACTAACGAGGAGAGTATACTCACATAGAGTTGGAAAAAGCGAATGCCATGTCCGGTTGAAGCAACCTCCTCAACACTTGAATTAGCCATTGAGGATAGTGTCTCTAACAAATAAATAAAACAATCTGTGAGAAACTAAATAGCCATAACTGCGACAAATAAATAACACAATCAATACCTAACTCAATTTCTATTATTTTTCCGGTTGATGAGTATTTGCAGGAACAGAAATAGTTGAAATAACCTCAAACACTACAAAATTATGATTCTATGTATACATTGTTAGAATTAATTTAGATTTTATAATTAATTAGATATTAATTTATATTTAGGAATATCTTTTAGATTGTTTATATCTTTGTTAGAAAATATAAATCTTAGATCTTCTTATATCTTTGTAGAAGATTTATTTTAGATTTAATTTGTGTGTATAAATAGCCTAGTGGAGTAGGTTATTGTAATTCATTGTAAATCTTTATTTTTGAAGCTATCAGTAAATATTCCTTTTGTCTTTTATCTTCCTTGTGCTCCAACAATTGGTATCTAGAGCTCCGATTCGAAATTCACGGGAAATTCTGCGTAAATTGCATAAGGTAGAAGATGAAAGGAAACAGTGGCGATATTCATTCCAACATTCCAGTATTTGATGAAAAAAACTGGAATTGTTGGAAGATCCAGATGCGCGTGTTATTTGGTTTTCAAGATGTGTTAGATCTTGTCACTGATGGCTATAATCTGTTAGAAGCAGATGCAACAGAGACCTAGAAGATAGCACAGAAGGCACTGAGGAAGAAAGGTCAGAAATCGTTGTTCTACATCCATCAATGTGTGGATGTGAATGTGTTTGAGAAGATTGTTGATTCTGAAACAGAAAAGGCTGCGTGGGACACACTGGTCAGATGTTACGGTGGTGACGCATCAGTGAAGAAGGTGAAGCTTCAGTCTCTCAGAAAGTAATATGAGAATCTCAACATGAAGGACAACGAGAAGGTTTCTGAATACATCTCTAGAGTGATTCTGATCACTAATGAGATGAAAGCTTGTGGAGAAACTATGTATGAACAAGTAATTATTGAGAAGATCTTGAGATCTTTAACTTCTCGATTTGATTACATTGTTGTAGCAATTGAACATTCTAAAGATCTGAGCACCATGAGAGTTGAAAAGCTGCAAAGTAGTCTAAAGGCGCATGAGTTGCGTATGACTGCAAGAACTTCTGAGAGGGAAGTAGAGCAGTAGAATCTGAAGGTAACTTCTGGTAAGAAGCATCAGAAGCTGACTTGGTCAGAAGCCAGAAAGAAAACTAATAGTGGTCAAAAGTCAGAAGCTTCAAACTCTGATAGGCAGAAGAATGTCCAGAGGGGAAAGGAGAAGTCTAACAAGAAGAATGTTCAGTGTTACTGTTGCAAGAACTTTGGTCACTATGCCAGAGATTGCTGATCCAACAAAGAAAGGAAGTCAGAAGAAGCAAATATAGTAAGAGGATAGTCTGATGATGAACCTGTGCTATTGTTGGCTTCTGAACCTGATGATCTAAATTCATCAGAATGGTGGTATATAGACACAGGGTGTTCAAACCATCTTACTGGAAACAAGAAGTGGTTGGTTGATTTTGACTCTGGGAAGAGTATAAAGATCAGATGTGTTGATGATAAATACCTCGATGCAGAAGGTATGGGAAATGTCAGAATTATTCTAAACAATGGGAAAGCAGCAGTGATCCAGAATGTTTGGTATGTACCTGGCATGAAAACCAATCTGATGAGTGTGGGACAACTGGTTGAGAAAGGTTTTTCAGTTACCATGGAGTTGAAGCAATCTTCTAAAGCTGTATGACTGTAATCAGAAGCTGATTATGGAGTCAGAATAGGAAAGGAATAGAACATTCAAGGTGAATGTTAGAACTGCAAACTCTGAATGTCTTAGTGCAACAAGTGTTGTCAAGGAGAGTGAGTTGTGGCACAGAAGATTTGGTCATCTGAATTTCAGAAGTTTAGGGAATCTGAAATCAAAGAATCCGGTATATGGAATTCCTACAATCAAGAAGCCTGAAAAGTCATGCAAGGTGTGCATGGAAGGGAAGAAACCAAGATTACCCTTTGCATCATAAGTAGCTCCAAGAGAAAAACATGCCTTGGAAGTAGTACATTCTGATGTGTGCGGTCCGTTTCCAGTAGCATCGACTGGAGGGAATAAATACTTTGTGTCATTTTTTAATGAGTTCACCAGAATGACATGGGTATCTCTCATAAAGTTCAAACACGAGGTATTTTCTGAATTCAAAAAGTTCAGACTGAAGGCTGAGATTCAGAGTGGCCAGACTCTGAAAATTCTTAGAACTGATGGTGGTGGTGAGTATAACTCCATAGAATTCAGAAGTTTCTGTGAGGATAATGGAATTGAGCATGAGGTTACTGCTCCATATACTCCTCAACAAAATGGTCTTGCTGAAAGAAGAAATCGTACTTTGCTAGATATGGAGAGAAGCATGCTGAAAGAGAAGAAGCTTCCTCATACTCTATAAGGAGAAGCTGTTGCAACTGCATGTTATGTGCTCAACAGATGTTCAACGAAGAAATTAAAGGAAATAGTTCCTATTCAGAAGTGGGCTGGAGATAAGCAAAGTGTTAGTCATCTAAAGGTATTTGGTTCTGTATGTTACAAACATGTCCCAGAAGCCAGAAGACAGAAGATGGATGATAGAAGTAAAGTGATGTTGCTGGTGGGGTATCACAGTACAGGTTCGCACAAACTTTATTGTCTAGAAACTAACAAAGTTGAGTTCAGTAGAGACGTCATTATAGAGGAATCAAAAGTTTGGAATTGGGAAAAGTCTCTTCCTGACTCTGATGACAGAACTTCTGAAGAAAGGTCAGAAATACATGTTTCTGAAGCTGGTAAAGACTCTGACTCTGAAGAAGATACAGAAGGAGAAGATGATTCTGACTCTGACTCCATGAAAGAAGAACTTTATGCTATAGAGAGAAACACGACTTGGAAGTTGATAGAACTTCCAAAAGGCAAGAAATCCATCAGCGTCAGATGGGTTTTCAAGCAGAAGCTAAAGCCAGATGGATCAATTGGCAAACACAAAGTGATATTAGTAGCAAGAGGCTTTCTACAGAAGCCTGGGCTGGATTACTTTGAAGTGTTTGCACCTGTGGCGATACATGAAACAATCGGATGCATTTAGATGTAAAATATGTATTTCTGAATGGTTTATTACAAGAAGATGTGTACGTTTCACAACCTCTTGGATTTAAGAAAAAGAATCAGGAAGGGATGGTGTTCAAATTACACAAAGCATTGTATGGATTGAAGTAAGCGCACAGAGCTTGGAATTTAAAGATTGATTCATTTTTCAAGGAACAAGGGTTTCAGAAATGTGAGATGGAGTATGGTGTTTATGTTCAGCACACTTCAGAGGGTAATATGATTCTGGTCTGTTTGTATGTTGATGACATATTACTCACAGGAAGTTCTGAACAAGAGATAGCTGAGTTCAAGAAAGTTCTGATGAATGCATTTGAGATGACAAATCTTGGTAAAATGAGTTTCTTTCTAGGGATGGAATTTATGTACTCTGAGAAATGAATCATTTTACATCAGATGAAGTATGAACTAGAGCTTCTAAAGAGATTTGAGCTAGAAAATTGCAAGGTTGCTATCACACCTGTTGATACGAATCAGAAGTTGGATTCTGATTCTGATGGAGAGAATGTGGATGCTACAACCTTCAA